CAACTGCGTGAAACACACAGTAGTATAAAACTTCAACTGCGTGAAACACACAGTAGTATGAAACTTCAACTGCGTGAAATACACAGCAGTATGAAAATTCGGCTGCGTGAAACACACAAACTTCACGCATGCGTGGAGTGTATGGAGTGTACGGGAGTGATTCACGCAATGGTGCGAATAGTCACGGCCAAAAAGTACTTGTGAGAAGGAAAAGATGTTATTGCTTTCCTTCAAACTCATTGCGATTGAGAGCAAGTGACGGTTATATTTTAGAAATATCTGACGGGTCCCTCCTGTATAAATTCTGTATTCATTTTATATGAAAGTCTCGGATCCATGATTCACTTCATCAAAGCTTTTATTATTTTCAGTCATTTTCTCATCTTTTGACTCGAATTAATCGATTTCTTGGGACAAGGAATTGTCAATTAATTACACGGTCTGACTCATTATACGGAATTCTTATCCCAATCGTGTTATCCTTAAGAGATCAGATATTTAACGCGAAAAATTAGTTTTGTGATATTATGTCGATTTATCTCTAAGCGATAAAACAAAAGTTTCTTTCGATTTCTCACAAAAACATTATTCAACGTTTTTTCTCTCCAAGAAAATCAACGAAAATTCTTCCTTTCATCTTGCCGATACCTCCAGCCAATAATCAACCCGTCACTTGCATAATTACGAATATCATCGTAAGTCAAAGAAGAAAAAGACAAAATAATTTCTTCGCTAAAGTTTCTTTTTTCCAGCGGTGAAAGCGCTCGAAGGAAAGAGTTCATTACCCACTGAATTCGGCGGGGACCGGTTTCCACTTGAAATTGCGTTACGAAATGAAGCGATCTCACAGCTAAAAAAAATTGTTCCATCCAGAGAAGCCGAGTTTCGTGATTTTTAATTTAATTGTAACTCCATTTTAACATGAGATAATCACTAGAGGGGAATTACTGCTGATGGCGCAAAATATAATTCGGGATATGATTAGAGATATGATGCACTGGACAAACATGTTTTGAAACAGATAGGTGGATTTTCCATTACCGGTGTTATTTCCACCGAGTGTCTGAGCATTTTAGCTCTAGCGATTGGCAGCGTACCCCATGCTAACTCAATTTAGTAATTGCATTCGAGTTGCTCGCGGTGGAACTGCGGTTTGAAAATTATCGTATTGGCTTTCAATGGATTCTTCAATTATTCATGACAAGAGTATGAATTATTGCAAAAGTTTTCTCTATTTCCTTTGACGATCGGTTGTCAATACATTTGAAGATAATGCTGAATTATTGAAAATTCTTTTGCCAGTTATTAGGCAGTCGTATCAGAAATTAATGGCTTTCGGAGTAATTAAAAGGTTTGCTGACATCTCAAAATCAATAACGCAGCGCAGAAGACACGAAATCCTTCGTTTATTTTGCAATTGTTCAAGGAATGAGTGATTTAGAGATCTTGCGTTGGGTGGAATTAATTTAGTTGTAGATAATGCAGAACATTTCCACCCAAACATGATAATTTCCGTGCACGGAGAAAAAATTTGGAGAAAAATTCAGTACGAAGTGATCAAACGGTTTAAGTCAATTTAGTCTTTAGTTGAGTTTTCCAGAAATATTTCCGAATTTAACGGAGATAGCGAAATTTTCATAATAACCTTTTTTGTAGAGCGCATTGAGTGCTACTAAAAAGGTTATGAGCAAAATTTTGCTATCTCCCTTAGATTTCGAGATATCCATTGAAAACCGACCAATAGCCAAAATCGACTTAAACCGTTTAATCGATTTCAGTGACAATAACCACTGATGATCATTAAAATTCTAGTCAGTGTCCAGTCTCACCAATAATTGGTGATAGATTCCTGCAAATCAATGACATCTTGCTGAAAATAAAAAATTTTCTTCTCCGTGAAATTCTTAAAAAGCCAATGTGTCACCCACTTTTGACTATTGGTCAGTTATCAATGAAAATCTCAGAATCTAAGGGAGACAGCGTCATTTTTCTCATAACCTTTTTTGTAGCCCTAAATTTTCTCCCCAAAAAATCCTATTACAAAAATTTCATTATCTCCCTTAGATTCCCAGATATTCCTCGAAAACAGCTGAGAGATAAGTCAACGTAAACCGTTTTACGCTTCGCTGCTGAATTTCCCAGAGGTAATTCTCTCAGATAATCTCTTTTTTATTCCATTCATCAAACTCGTTCACTCCCCTCCCCCTCTCCCTCCCCCCTCATTAAACCCCCAACAATTTTACCTTTTATACTGCCAGACGACGTGTGTGGTGTCTGTGGTGTGTGCGAAGTTAGCGGCAACGGCGAACCCGAGGAGGACGCGGAGTGTTCCAATTTGGAACTCACCGCGCTCCACATCTCGAACATGTTGAACGCCGTGGTGACCGTTCTTGTCCTCGTGCTCCGGACGATATTCCGTGCGCGAGCACATATACGTTAAACTGATAATCCGTTCGTTTGAAATTTTATAAAAATGATTTATCATCCAATTATAATTCCACCTGTCACATGTCACACCAGCGGCGATCCAGCGCCGCTTGACACAACACTTGCCCCTCCCCCCCTCCCCCCCCACAGACAAACAGTCAATTATCGAAATTCCTTAAAATCCACGGGGGTTCCTTAACCTCGCGCGGTGCGAAATTATCGAGTGCAACATCCTGATTACAGCCAATTAAAACCTGAAACGTAAATCCATGGAATATTTTTGTTCTCTGAAGTAGCTCGATTTCTCATTTTTTCTCGGAGTAATTCTGTCCAGGGGAGATGAAAGTTTCGTGAAGTTGTTTTGTATCGAAATATATCGAAATTGCTGGAGCGCTAATCCCCAATTCAATGCCTTCAAACTCGTAAATTGTTCTTTGCGTCATAATTGTCAATTTTCTCAGGTTTATTATGCTCGAAATTGAGTAATTCAATTGATCAAATGATTGATTAATTAATTAATTCTTCCTTTTTAGATTTTCAGTCATCGTGTACTTTCTTGAATCTCGTTGATTTTAATTCCTTACATTTTCCTTGAAATGTTTGTTTTTCTTCACTCGAGAACAATTCAAAAAATTATTCAGTTCTCTAGAGAATTTTCGGATTTTGTGCAGAATTCAAGAAACTTGTTCGCTTTTCTAGAAAATCGATTTATAACACTTCTCTTGTATCAACAATTATGAATACTGATCGAGTCCGTTTGAAAAGTGAAAGGGAATCGATCAAAGATTCAAAATTATTCATAAATTTTGAACTTGTCACTTGAAATTTTACTCCAAAACGCGATGTTGTTGAATACTGTGAGTGTTGTCATTAAAAAGTCCGGGAAATTTGCCCCATAATTAAAAAAAATACTCATTTTGCCGCAACAGACTTCGAAATGTTCAAAAAAAGATTTCAAACAAAGAATGTTTCTAGTTTCCGGAGCAAAGTTATTGATTGCAAAGAACTCACGGTTCTAAAATGTATTTTATTTTGAATAAGAAAGTGTTTACTCAACTTCGAAAGAAAAATTCCTTGAAATTGAGAACCAAATAGTCGCTAACTTCAGGTGAGAGAGGTTTCGAGACCAGAACATTCGCAAGAATAAATTCCAATTGAATTAATGAAACATCAATTGAATTTTACTCCAGAAAAAATAATAAATTCACGAATGTGGAATCGATCAAAGATTCAAAATTATTCATTAATTTTTCACTTGTCACTTGAAATTTTACTCCAAAACGCGATGTTGTTGAATACTTTGAGTGTTGTCATTAAAAAGTCCGGGAAATTTGACCCATAATTTGAAAAAAATACTCATTTTGCCCCAACAGACTTCGAAATGTTCAAAAAAAAAATTTAAACAAAGAATGTTTCTAATTTCTGCGACGATTTTGGGCCATAGTCGGCCCAAACCGCATCTGACCGACTATGGCCCGAAACCGTCGCAGAAATTATTACTATAACGGTCGAAAAAATGGATTTATTGAAGAATGTTTCTAGTTTCCAGAGCAAAGTTATTGGTTTTCAAGAACTCGCGGTTCTAAAATGTATTTTTTTGAGAATAACATCGTGTTTACTCAAAAAATAAATTGAAATTAAGTATTAAATGGTCACTAGCTTCAAATGAGAGACGTTTCGAAATCAGAACATTCGCAAGAATAAACTCCAATTGAATTAATTGAAAATCAATTGAATTTTACATCAGAAAAAATAATAAATTCACAAACGAGAGAATGTTCTGAATTTAAGAAATAATTTTTAATTATCAATGGTTCATTTAAGTAGCTACTTTGAATTAAACTCTTTCGTCCGATTTTTAACCAAAACTTTTTTTTTAAAAGTGCAAATTTTGTTGTCTAACCCAGAAGCATTATTTCTCAACGAAATTTCAACAAACAAAAAGTTTTCAGTCCATCTCTCCAAAGCCTTGGGGCGCAACGGGTCATCTTTTTGTAATCCCTCCCCCCGAAAATCGTCTGCCTCTCCCTCGAGATTCAAAACCCCCAGCTCCATCAGCCCCTCGCGAAAAAAATAATCCACTTCTGACTAAAAAATCGTATTCATCTCAATTTGAATCTCCTCCTTTCTCCCTCTCATTTTTCCATTCTCCTCATTTTTTCCCGCATACCACACATTGTTTGTGCGTCGAGAAATATGAATTCAAATGGTTGATGGGTGGATGATTGGAGGCTGAAAGGAGGCCACGGAGATCGTCGATTAAAAAAATAAAAAAAATATCCCAGACTCCCTGGAGATTTGAAATGTATCCTCAGTCTGCGCGTTTTTATCCCTCCCTGTTTTATTTTTTTCTCCACACACGCCGCACACGATCACCACAGGTTTTTACTATTGAATGGGACAGGCGAGAGCGACTCGTGACGCTTGGCAAAAGTGGAGCACAAACCCTTGGGCTATTCGCGCGTCGAGAGCGAAATGTCTCTCATTTCATTCCTATCGTGATTTCTCACCCTCTGGGGCTCAAAATTTCACACTCCATTGTCCCTCCTCCCCCTCCGCCCCTCAAACGTCAAATAAAATTGAATTTCGTCACCGCTGAAGAGAAATTTTTTTTTTTCCCTCAAGTCGAAAATAATTTCATCGATTTTTCACGTGATGCCAGCGGCAATTGGCGTAAAGCGCAAAATTTATTCAACGACAGGTCTCGTAAGTCTCCCAGAAGGACGTTACCTGCAACGATAATCGATCGTTAACTCTCGCTGATCGATGCGAGTGACACACAAACGCGGGAGGAGAAAAAAAATAGTTAAATTCAATCGGCAGTGGGAAAAAAGTCGACGCACGCTTCAAACGAGATTGAGTACAACGCGGTGCGTTAACGCGATGAGTTGGCGGCGGGGGGGG